CCTCTTACAGCACCAGTGGCACCAGTAACCGCTTACAGCACCAGTGGCACCAGTAACCGCTTACAGCACCAGTGGCACCAGTAACCGCTTACAGCACCAGTGGCACATATTGTCCTTTACTTTAACAACAAAATTTTGATTCTGATATTTATTTTGTTTTATTACGGATAATAAATATTCCAATGGCAATAACTGGCAATAATTAGCTACTCTCTATTCTGAGTTTCAGTTAGTCCCTTCAGATAGAAGAATAGCCCTGGCAAATAGAGAAATATATTTTAAAACATCATTCTGTCCTCGGGCAATAAATGTTAGGAACATATTGCAATCATGTGATATTACTTTAAGACTCTGATTGTTCACGTTTTACCTTTTTTTATCTGTATGTTTGTAAATTTTATTTTACATATACACTGTACTGTATGTTCTGCAATGCGAGACCAAAAGGCAAATGTCCAGCTTTATCTGGACAATAATGATTTATTCTATTCTATTCTATTCTATTCTACTCATCACTAGTCACGGTCCTCTGCTCTAAGTAAGATGAGTCCTATGTTCCCCTTATTAAGTGTAAAATAAATAACTAAACTCTAATTCTCAAATAAATGGAAGCGTAACGATTTGTTACCCCCATAATTAGTCGTGAATGTCCCCAGCTCTGCACTTTCCCGGTCTTGGTGTTACATGATTTCAGTCCTGGCTGCTATCGGAGGATTCTGAGTGGATTTGCGGATCTGTCAGAAAGCTGGCTGTTCCGTCACCCCCCCCCCCCGCCACAGAGCTTCAATAGATCCCCCATCTGCAGGTATCTGACGGACGGGGGCCTGAACCTCTACTCCCGGGGTGTGAGCCGCACGCCAGATCCCGGCAGCGTCCGTGACGCCGTGCAGAAGGGGCTCGCTGGCACGCAGGTGGACCCGGACAGGTAAGGGTGTCTCTGGGTGCCTGGTTCTGGTTTCTGGCTGCGGTGAACTCCAATGGGAAATCCAACGATGTAGCTACTTGTGGTATTTTTAGGCGAATATTTATCGTATGGCTGTACGAGGGGAGTTTATAAGACGTGATGCTGTTGGACCTAATAAGGAATTGTGGATGAAAAGAGTCTGAAGTTTGTCTCTGGTGTGTGATGACAGAGAGGAACACGCAGCGTGGTGACGTGCATCTCAGAGCTGCTGAGGAGCCCCACGGCTGAGTGGTAGAGGACGTCTAAGCTATGAGATAGCATTTCCACAGATGACATCATCCTCGTCTAAATTAGAAAGGACTGTCATCTTCACCCTGGTGGGCCTTGCAGAGAGGTTAAGGGAATATTTCTGTAGAGGAAGGCAAGCGGAGGTGTAATTTAAGTTGGAGCTTGGATATGTGGGGTAGGAATGATACAGTCTTGACAGGATCCTGCCACTATTTAAAGACGCTCTCTCAAGCTGAAAATGTGATTCTGCGGAGGCAAAACTGAGATATTTTACTAAGCAACGTGGCCTTTCTTTTGCTACACTGCAAGCTCGGAGCCGGGAGATCACTGAACGCTGTGAAATGCTGGTAGGAGGCGATCGATTTGTGAGTCACCCAAGCAGAGCAGAGTGACGTCCTCTCTGAGCGCTTCCTGCTGTCGAGGGGCCGCGGGGTTTTTAGCTGACTCTCATCTCCTGCCCGGCCTTCCCGTCCGTTTCGTTCACGTGTTTTGTTTGCCCGGTTCCTGCCAGACTGTCCCTTTGTTATGCCTGTGCTGGGATATTACGGCTTTGCATTTAGGAGGCTTTTTGTTTGTCTTCTTCTCGTCTCGACTTCCATCCCGATCCCGAAATAAAGCTCTGGCACATTCCGGACTCCCCACGTTTCCTGTGGTTCTCTTTGCCGAACTGCCAAGGGTGTTCCACGGTCACTTACACCGTCGCAGAATATGTTCATCTGGATGTTTGTGAGCTGGGTTATGGAGCGTGGTGGTTGTCTCCAGGTTCCTGAAGTCAGACCTAGTGATGTGTCCTTTTTACGAGAGATCCATGGAACACTTGCCACAGAAGGTCAGGCTCTGTTAAAATGTGTTACAGTTGAGGTCACAGGAGGGAATAATATCCGAATTTATGAAGAGGACCGGAGGGGCTGATATAGCATATAAAGGATTAATGCAAGTTTATATGGCAGTATACTGTACTAATAAATAAATCTGTCCTGGGATAGATTTAGTAACAGCATGGAAGCAGATCAAGCACCACAATCACGTTGTTAATCTGCCATAGAGGCTTTACAGTATCGTATTGAAAGAAGACATCCTATCTTCAATGGGATTTCAGTAAACAGCAGCCGTTCGGGGACTCGATTGTATAAACAGAGACTTCCTGGGGTTCTGTTTGAAAATCGGCTTGAGTTTGGAGAGCCAGCTGAGTTGCCTGGGAACCTGGTTCTGCCAGGTAGTCGGAGGAACGGTGCTGGAAGCATTCAAAGCTGCCTGGAGCGAGCGGAGCGAATGAAATACCCTGTCAGAGCGAGCCGGAGCCTTTCCACCCACGACTCCTTAACGGGTTCCCAGCCACGGAGGAGAGACCTTCACGCAGTTAACCTGCAAACAGACGCTCCCAGGTGGTGACGGGTGTGTCATTTGCTGGAAAGCCGGTACGTGGAAGCCGAGGCGCATCCAGTCATTGGATGGAGCTTGGAGCCGACAGCAGGAAGCTCTTGAGGCACCTGCTCATCTCCATCCATCTGGCTGCTAGTTAGCCTCTCCTAATTGGGCTCGCTTCGTAGTTTAGCTGATAATGTCCATTCAGCTGAGGCTGAGCTGGTGCAATAGTTACAGAACAAGGAGATTGCTGGAAACAGATGCCTGGCTACATGCTGTGATCAGCTGTCATCTTTTGGCTCCCTGTTCTATATGTGTACATACAAGTATACACACAGTTACACTGCAGACCAGCTGGCTTTGATAGTATTATGATTATTATTAGGTAGAGTCAAGTCAATGTAGAGTGCTGGTGGGTGTTTCACAAAGCAAGATTTCTTAGTTAGCTGGTTTAACTTAAGCTAGCAGTCATGATTGTCCAATAGGAATGCTCCTTACTTAAACTCTTGTTGGACCATCATGATTTATAGTTTAAGTTAACCCAGCTAACTGAGAAATCCTGCGTTGAGGAACACCCCTCTGGTGGCGTTCTTCCAGAATGTTCTGTCTGGTACTTCAGGTTCAGCCACAGCACGTTCATCATTGTGATGATTGAGACCTGGTTGTCCTCTTCCTGTTTCCTGTCCTGAACTTTCTCAAACATTATAGGTTTTTTTTTCTTCTGAGTTGCAGTTTGCTGCTGGTCAGATAGATTGGGGCATCATCACCCCCCCTCGATGAGATAGGGTTTGATGCCCCCGCCTGGGCAGCAGCTTGGCATCGTGCTGACGTCTGCTGAGCTCCAGCATTTCAGCCCGTTCCCCTCCATCTTTATTCGTCACACGCCTGTGCCGTGGCCCCCCACCCCGGAGACACACCCACTCCTGTCACCTGACCGTTCATCTTGGCGACACAGCTACTGGCCTGTGGAGTTGCGATGAGGGTGATGGAGACTGCAGTGGACACCTCCCTGACACCTGCCGCTGGGGGTTTGTGTTCCTCAGTAGAGATCAGCATCTCCACCTTGAGGGCTTCGTCAGTCTGGTGATGCGGGCAGCCACCAAGTGGAGTGTATGGGGAGCCTTAAGGAGACGGCAGCCTCAGCCTGTATATGGATAAATGAGTACAGCAGATAATTGCAGATTCCAGAACACACAGGTTCTACTATAGACCTATTATAGTTATACTAGATCTGCTGCAGTTATGATCAGCTATTTTGAAATTTCAGTTGAGGGAACTTTTTCATCATCATCAACATCATCGTCATCATCATCATCATCATCATCATCATCATCATCATCATCAACTCTGAAGGATCATAAAGGTGGCATCCTTTCGGAATGTTCTGTTTTCCATCTGATGCCTTCAGGATTTTCAATGGCCTCTCCATTCAGGGCTGGTCCAAGACTTAAACAAAGCGGCTGCTTTAGGTCTCAGTAGCCACCAGGGGGCTCCCCATCTGATTAGCCTAGGGGTCTCCAACTCCGGTCCTGGAGAGCTACTATCCAGTAGGTTTTCTGTCCCACTTGGCTTCTGATGAGCCACACCTGCTCCTGGTATTTACCTGAGAACAGGTGTGGCTCATCAGATGCCGGGAAAACCTACTGGACGGTAGCTCTCCAGGACCGGAGTTGAAAACCCCTGGATTAGCCTGTCAGATGAGAAATGAGGTTCATCACATTTTGCTTAGGGCTCCAATAAGGGTTGGGCTGGCCTGTGTCCTTCATTGCGGTGAGGGAGACCATCCACTTGGTTGGCCTCTTCTATTTTTACCTTCAGCTATTCCTGACGTTACGGCTTTTTTGATGTGCTGGGTGTTACCCAGTATACCCTGTATTAGCAGTTTTTGCATTACTGAAATCCATACTGGAACCAAAAGGTAAACACTGTCAGTGCTAATAGCTGTCATGTTTATGGTGGGGGGAGTGCTACCATGCTAATTACACCTTCCTAGGACAGCTGGAGGGGGGGGGGGGTATTTCCCAGAGGGTGTTTATAGCAATGATGATGAGGATCTGGACCGACCTGCCGAGCTCTGGATCTTCCCCAGTCAGACTGGATGAGGCACCTTTGCCCAGACGTGGGAGGAATTGTTTACTTAAGAAGCCTGGATCAGGTTTAATCGGCTCGGCTGAGTTTGTTTAGCCGATCCTCTCCCATTTCCCAAAACTTGCCCCTCCTGGAAAATTCCCTCTCTCCTTCTTTGGACTTATCTTTAAAAATAACTCCTACCGGCACAGGATTACACAGCATTCTCCTGTGCCCTTCTTCTTTAAATCCAGACTTTCCTTCTCTGTGTTCTAAGCGCAGTCACTAGAGCAGGAACAGAGTTTCATGCTCCAGCGCGCAGCAAAAAATGGGCATTTTTCGTGACTGATTTCCTCCGCTGCGGAGCTGTGAACATTGTGATGGGTTTTTAATAATCATCGGGCCTGTTTCCATGTAGTCTGGACCCGAGACTGAAGAGAGAAGCATCAGCGTTCGATGAAAGGGTATTGATTAAGGATGAACAGCATCCCAGCAGATAGCAAATTCCAGAATGTTCCGCCTGGCCAGAAAGCATGGCTGAGCCAAGCTCATTCATTAGCGGCCGCCCCTGTCGCTGCGCTGCTGGTGGGAGGCAAGGTGGACCTGTGTTCTTCACTCCCCCGGTCCAAATGGGCAAGGATAATGCACTTCCTCCATTTTTTTTGTTTGGTCGCCAGGGAGTTGGCTTGGCGGGTGGCGATGTAGTTGGCCGGGGGAGGGTGGGGGGGGGGTTCACAAATGACTCCTCTGAGGGTCGTTATTGTTTCAAGGGTTCGCCACCCGACTTGCTGGGCCGCGGCCCAAAACCGATCCGTTAGAATCACCGACACCTTGGTGCTAAATTTGGAGGAGGTGTCACAGAGAACAAGGAGAGAGAGAGGGACCATATGGCAGGATTGGGATGCGACGATGTTAATTTGCGGCATTAGGTCCTGTGCCACCATGCGGCGTGGCGGATCGGCAGGATCCAAAAACACGGCCACCGTAACCGACGTCCGGCCCGTTGAAGCTTTCTGATGTACTGCCCCCCTCGCCCCAAGATGGTTTGAAGTGCATCAGGGGCAACATAAGGTCAAGAAACAGGTGTCTGACGCCAGGCTGTATCCTGCCCGTGCTTCCCGGGGGCTTCCTGTTTGCCGGACGACTCTGTGCAGCTGTGCTAAGCTCTGCCCGGAAGGGGCTGAGGTCACAGCAGGTATGAGGCTCGGATTTACGACACGACGTCTCATTCGCGGCTAATGTTTGCGTTGCAGCTTGTGCAGCCTTAACTCCCGAGAGCACATTTTAGCCTCAAAATAGTG